CGTGCCGGCACTCTGCGCGCGGGGCCGCGGCCGGCGAGAGCGGCCGAGCACGGGCCGCAGGGGAAGGATGCAGGGTTGACCTTGGAAGGTCGCTCGTCCTTACTTTGCGGGTTGACTGTTCGGCGACGCCACAGGGTGTGGCTTGCAGAGGGTGTGGCTTGCAACCGGCACCCTGTGGAGCACCCTGGGGGGGCACCCCAGGGGGAGCGCGGGGACATCGATAGAGCTCTTCCGCGCCCCGAGGAGGCTGACTGTGCTGTACCTTCTCTATCTTCCCCTGGGGCTGGAGGGCCGCGCTCGGTGACGATCTGGCAGGAGAGTTCCTCCTCCTCCTCCTCCTCCTCCCCTCCCTCCTCCTCCTCCTCCTCCTCCTCCTCCTCCTCCTCCTCCTCCTCCTCCTCCTCCTCCCCGAGGAGGCTGACTGTGCTATACCTTCTGTACCTTCCACTGGGGCCGGGGGCCGCGCTCGGTGACGATCTGGCAGGATAGTTCCTCCTCCGCCCTCCTCCTCCCCTCCCCTCCTCCTCCTCCTCCTCCTCCTCCTCCTCCTCCTCCTCCTCTCCGCCTCCTCCCTCCTCCTCTCTCCTCCTCCTCTCCTTCTCCTCCTCCTCCTCCTCCTCCTCCTCCTCCTCCTCCTCCAAGGCCCGTTTCCATCGAGAGATTGCAGAGGGGGGAGCCTCTCGACGCGCGGCCCGAAGTGTCTTCGGCGGCTGCCAGCCGCGACAGGATGGAGTCGGCTGCCTAGCGGAAGATATGAGGAATGTCTCGGCTTCGTGTCCTGGAATTTAATCCTCTTCACACGTCAGGCGAACGGCTCCCCGAACTTCTCGGAGAAACTCGGAATTTGGATCCAGTTCTTCTGGCGGGTACTCAGCGGGTGGAGCACAATGATCTCGCCCCCCCTGTCCAGAGCATGAGGAGTGCGGGAAGGCAGGTTCTGTCGGCTCCCTTCGTCTCGTCGCCGCTCAGCAATCAAAGTTGCGGCTGCCTCATGGCCTTCGGTCCGCAGGTTCAGCCGCGCCATGTGATCCGCACGTGGCCGTCTCCGCCGACTGCGAGGGGACGTGGGCTCGCTTCACGGGTGAAGTACGGCTCGGCGGACATGTGCGGCATCGTGTGATACTTTCCTCCTCGCCCTCGCAGCCGAGAGGCACACGGAGGATATTTTCGCACTGACGCCACACTCATGTTGTGGATGTCCTCCATCACGTGCGCCCTCCCAGCACGATGTACGCCCGTGGTGTTCGCGGACATCAACGACGGCATCGGGGAGGCTAGAATAGAGGGCGCTTGGACACCAGTGCACACACCTGTCATTGGAGTCCCGCATCGAGAACTATTTGTGAATGGAGCTGGACAGCGCATGCGCACGTTGATGCAGACACAGGATATGGTTGCAGTAAACACGTTTACGGAGAAGATTGAACCCACTTTTTTCGGCACGTTTGGCAATTCGAGAATTGATTGCCTGTTCGTACCTCGGGCGATGCATTAGCAAGTTTTGATCGGGAGAGCACATCTACGCCTCGGGGCTAGACTTCAAGCGATAGGAGGGGTGTCTCCACGAGACCACATCCCCATCGTGATGGTGATGAACTATGAGAAGCACGGAGTGCCCCCCGCAGGTCAATACACATCATCATTGGGAAAATGATAAGATGATGGCTTCGGTTTGGACGGGGGCAGGCAGAGAACAGTTTCTACAGAAAGTTCGGGGGCGATGCGATGGACTTCACCTGGCATGGTACAGAGACCACGCGTCGCCCGACCAGATCTTCGAGACGCTGGAGGAGGTTCTGCGATCCGCAGGACAGGAGGCATTTTTACGACAATCAGAGTCTCGCCCAGGCTACAACGCATCTTGCAGACAGCGACGGCTTCTTCTCCAGCAGCGAGTGGAACTCCGGGCGCGGAAATTTCAGGCTTCCACAGAGGAGGCCGCCAGGATCGACCAGGAGCTGAAGGATCTAACCCACCAGCTTTTTCTGGAACGGAGACGTGCTGCCCGACAGCTGAGAGGTCAACTCACGGCGGAGGCGTTGGACAACTGGCATAGGGGGCGCACGGCAGAAGGGATGCGACTGGCTCGACGCGCGGCCCGTACTCGGTACGGGCCCAAGCGACGAGATGGCCGATTGG